AGTCACTCAAGTTGGATCATATCTTTTGAAACAAATCTGCAAAGCATTGTCACTCACAATAAACCAGACCTGGTCTAATTAAAGTGAATCCAACCAAGGTGATGAAGTGTGAATGCACCTCTACTGTGGCTGTGTGGACTCATCTCTGGCCAGGAGAGGACACAACCCCAATACCAATACGTATCATTGTATTACTATTTAGATTTTGTGTGCCAGTGCCTCACGCCGCACCATACGTCCGTCCTGAGCGCTTCAGTCAAAGAGATTCAAGGACTCAAGATGAAGGTATTATGTCCCGGAGGAAATCTTTTCTTGGACTCACAGGCTGCTACATTGAAAATACACATAAGACAGACATACAACACAATACAGCAATACATACCAAATGTTATTTTCCCCTTTCCAACAAATAGGACCTCAATACAACATTTCCCTCCGTGACATGCTGTGAGGTTGGTGATTGGTGTGGCACTAACTTCACCCCAATCAGATGTACATACAGTACTGTATATATCATATACATCAACTACAGAGTGGCTTATTCACAATTTGTTGGGCTACAGCAGAATGTATTTCATGTCTGAATTGTTTGCTCATTTAAAGTATGTAAAAAGCAAATTTAAAAGTGTGTTATGGGCCTTACCTTATAAATGAACTGCACAGACCAGCAGTTCAGACCAGTTTTAGCGTAGATATGTAATCCTCCATTTGGAAAAAAGCCCAAGGAGTTTTAAAAAGTAAAAACAAACAGGTGTCTCCCGTCTCCTCTCCTTGTGTTTCGCTGCAGCCGACTCTCGGGTGCATCCAAATTCTAAAATCAACCTTCTTACCCTTCACCTCTCTTCCTTTTCATTCCTATCATCATTGGAAGCATAAAATTACCGTAAGTGTATTTTAAATCATCTTTAAATGTGTTATATTTATGTTAGCCAAACCTGTAGCTGCCCTTAGCAGAGGACGAACAAGAAAGGAGCCGATAACTGGGCTCACAAGCGCCCCCTACCCTGAGGCTGGCCTCACTTGGTGACATTACAAGCCGTGGTTGAGCACGATAAAGACACATATTTGTTTCACAAACACAATTTTTAACCCATCCTCTTGACCATAGACATATGAAGAGTAGACGCCTCATTGGCCGCTCGGGAACGAGAAATGTGGCCGCCATCTTGGACCGGTCATCCTGCAGCGCAATGCCTGAGCACTGTGCGGATTATGCTGTCAAAATAGGCGGACTATTCAAAACAGTGAATACTTTTCACAAGTAAGTTTGAGAATTATTGTTGATAGTAGTTTGTGAATAGATTATTACCGAACTGTATTTATGTCACCAACAAAATCAGACACATAAGATCTGACCTTTGAATAGCAAACAAGCTAAGTCACAATTTCAGCAGCTCTGGTTCACGATTAAAATACAAGTTTTGTTGAAGAAAAGTTTAAAATAATTTGTAGGAGGAAAATAGGAAGAAGTAAGTTGGAATAATAGGAAATATGAAGATAGGAAATGTATTCATACATTGTTTCTTAATTTTTCAACTCATTAAAAAAGCTGAGTTTATTAGTTTTACTGCCACTAACTGCTTAGTGAATATACAGGGCTCTGTCATATATTAGTGTATATATGGTGTTCTAAAATACATTGGTGTGTATATATATTTGGTTCTACCGTAGTGTTTACACAGGCTTCTATCATATATTTGTGTTTATAAATGGTTCAGTCATATATTAGTGTTTAACTGTTCAGTGTCACTTGTTGCATAACGTTCCATACATTTCACCTGAATGTCCCTAACTTTCTGTGTTTTGCAAAAATACCTATCATAAATCATCTTACATGCATACATTACATAATCATAAGAATAATATATTACTGTTAAACACACTATGAATAATAATATACTGTACGCCAAACCATGTACCCTGTATCATAACTACATGTGTGACGTCTACAGTAAAGAAAAAAAGTGTGAAAATCGGTAAAGTATTCAGTGAGTTATGATTGATTGAATGCGCTGACACGTCACTATGCCTGCTAAACAGATAACACTGAGAGGAGCGGGCGACTGGTCCAAGATGGCGGCGCCAATAGGCAGTAGCGGTAGATGCGGGTCTACTCTTTGTATGTCTATGCTCTCGACTGTAGACATGTTGATGGTTAAGGAAATATGTTTGAACTTTGTAAACCGCGATAAACAGAGAAAACAGTTCGGGCTTCTCCCACTGTGCGCTACAGGCTATACGTCTCCAAAGAGAGGCTCGCTCTCTGTCAAACATGAGAAGAATGTGACAAAAATTGCATTGAAATAAGACAATAATTGCACAAATCACTTGACATAGTGACCAAGTATTATTGTTTCCATTTTATTCATTTTCCTTTTCGTGATCTTAGATGAGACCGGGCTTCACCTGCCTCATCTGACCGCACATCTCTGATTTCCACGTTACATTCAAGTACATTAGTGATCGACCTCTGCTGGTCGTTAAACAGAGTTGTACTCTAACTTTGAAGGACAAAATAATAAGGAGTAAACATGAAAATACTTGAATGAGTAAAACAAACCCTAATGTAAATTGACGTCTGATCTAATGTTGCATTTGCCTTTGACAATAATCTGTTTTAGGCTTATTTCGAACAGATGTTTTACCATCTGCCAAATGAACGTTTGACAAAAAAATAAATTGATGCCATAATAGCAGAATGAAACTTTACTTAGATTGGGATTCACTGTTTGTTCACATGCCTTTTGATGAGTTTGGCAAATGATAAAGGAAGAAGATGATAAAGGACAAAAGAAGGAATTATAATCATTTGCATAGTATCACATACAAATAAAGCCAAATATTTTGAATCCACAATAAACGAAGGCATTTTCCTCTGTGGCAAAAGCTACACCTCAATGCTTCACCTAATTACAATGTGGAATGGTTTATGAGAGAAACTAATGCCCTTTTTTACACTGGAAGCAATTAGAGTGCACTGTACAGTGCAAGAGAATTTATGTAGCTAATATTTAGAAGTGATAAAGTTTAACGGTACATAAAAGAGAGAAAAATAACTTTAATAACAGCAGGAAAAGTGGAAATCAGTACACTTCAAGAGAGTGTAGAAATCCAATATCTTTACCTTTTATCGCCTGTCTCGTTCCCCAAACATCACAAGGTCTTATTGGAGCATTTCCCTGATTCCTCACAAATACTTGTGACTCGTGTACTTCCTTTACTTTGAAAACTTTTAATAGGCGTTCACTGGTGCACACAGGTCGAGACAGTTTTGCCGACTGATGCGGCATTAGCTGCTGTATTTGTGCTCTGCTTGTCCTGTGACAGGAGACCTATCAGGTGCTCATCTCAACCCCCTCCCCTTCGCCTTCTCCTCCTGACCTCATTCTGTCATCTCCGCTTTCCCTCTTCTCCCCTCTCAGGTCTTTTATAAAGTGTCTCCGTGCATTACAAATTTAACAATGCATTAAAAATAGGACACCATCAATCAGTCATTCAGCGCGAGAGACGCAATCTACTTATGCTTCTGTTTTATACCATTCTCAAGGTTTCAACAGCAGAGCAACAATCACTGTGTGCCATGCACGATAAAAACACATTATTAGACTAATAACTCAACAAATCCACTCAGCAACTATGCTGATGCCCCAATGGTCAAATGTGTCTCATTTCCATGTCCACTCTATGGGGAAATTAAAGTTAGGCAGCAGACTGGCTGTGACATGATGTCTGCTGATGGGTGCCAGGTTAACATCATGGCCAAAACAGTGATTTGAGAATGGTGATGCATGTTGAGGAAAGTCTGATGTAATGGATCGGAGTGAGTCAGCCCCAGGGCAGAGGGTGTGAATGCTGTGACTCCAGGTTGCTCATGCCAAAGCAGATGTGCATCCCCAGACAGCAGGACAAAAGACATGAAGGGCTTTATATATAACTCAGCCCCAAACTTCACACAGCTTTGAGAGTCATAGGTGCAAGACATTACGCATGGAACTTGCATTATTATTCAACAATTCTTTCATAATGACCTGCTAAATTGGGATGTCCCCTCAGGCATATAAAAAATGTAGACAATGTTAAAATATTTCTGCTTAAGTTTTCTCAATCCTGTCGGTGAGAACAGATTGGATTGGAATGACCTTGCATCGCAGTTCAAGTAGTCTGTAAGTTTGCTCCGTCTTGAAACTGATTTGCTCACATTAGATTTCCCCACAACCCCTCAAACAACAGAAAGTGCAAGATAGATCATTTCTTGTATAACAATTAAAGGCTGGAAGCAAATCTCCAAAAGATGGAGCGTGGTCACAAAGGTGAGAATGGAGAGTATTGTTTCATCAACAGAAAACTTACTTACTCGGTATGAAATTATGTATTTTTATTCAGAACACCATAGTTTACAAAATCGTTTATTCAAATGGACATTGGAACAACACATTTAACTACAATCTTCCTCTTAGAGGATGTGAATTTGGCAAAATCCACCAAGACTGGATTGGATTTACACACTGGTTGTATTTGGTTATTTAATATGTAAAGTTAACATACTGTAGAAGCTGTTTCATTAAAGGAGACATATATTTGTTGAGCTAAAACATCAGAGCATGTTAGCCCAGTTTCCTCAATCTTGTCTTTACATGCAGACTGTATTTTCACCATATTTGTGTTTTTTCCCCCAAATGTTTAATCTAGAGTCAGATTTTTCTTTTTAGAACACCAAGAGTACTTATAAATGGTCCAATGTATATATACACTATGTCCCCTTTAATGTACTGCTTAAAACATAACCATTGTTGTGTCTATTGTCCAGTTGAGTTACATGTAACAGCCCTCCACATCTCCACACACTATAAACTATTTACACATTCATATATTTACACATTCATATATTTACACATTCATATATTTACACATTCATATATTTACACATTCATATATTTACACATTCATATGAACACACGTCTGCAGTTGTGGCAGGCCTCCATCTGCCGCGAGGTGCTTTCTCAGTTACAGGTGTGGTCGTGGGAGTCCAGGCTTTGATGTGGATTCTCCGAGGCCTGATCCTGCATTCTGGACTTCAAAACAGACTGCGCTTCGTCACGCGTGACAGCTTGAAGAGGTAGACGCCAACTGCACAGGCACGCCTGGAGGGACGCACACGCACAAAAGGCGTTTGAGCAACACATATTTACTGCTCAGAGAAGGGGCCGCATCGCAACATGTGCTGAGTGCAGAAGTGGCAGTATAATTTAATTGGAGTGAAGTAATCGCTGACTTTGTGATTTATGAGAATAGATGAGATCAGAGCTGACTGCGTAACATTAAATTCTGACATTTGCATTTTCATGTGTTTTGTGTTTGTTCATTTTAAGAACAAAGGATACAAGCGAAAAGTTGAATATACAATTGTGTTTAAAAGTTTGCAGATCGACAATTGTTTCCTCCACTTTTTAGCTTATTTAATTCTTATTAACTTAACCCATTTATGCCCACTATTATTATGTATTTGTCTGGTGCACACTGGGGACTTTTGCACATGTATTGTAATGTGGTATAACTGCAAATTAATCTAGTAAGTAAGTATTTCAAACTTATTATCATTATATATTTATCATACAGCAGAACAAAACAAACAAGATACAGACGTTTGAATTAAAAAACACAGTTTGAAAAGGGGTTGGACGAAGCAAATAGATAAATAAATCTGAATCTGAATTTGAGATTGCATTGTTTTGGTCATACTTTGCGATTACGAAACATGGGTCCAGGAATGTACAGGAACTGGAAGTTTGTATGCCAAGCAGAGTGTAGATGTTTTACGATCAGAGAGCACAAAAGACTCCAAGCTGCTGTTATCGATGTTAAAGAGGAAAAAACATGTGTATGAGAACTGAGGGAATGAATCGTCTAATCTTGGTCGAGTAGTTTCTGTTGTCATTATAACTTGAAAAAAAAGAAAATTGCTCTTCTTGACAATAACACACAACCGCTGACAAAGAGGGAAAAAAGCTTGTTTGTGTTAATATCAATAATCTCCGAAGTATGGCTCAATAATAATAATAATAATAATAATAGTAGCAGTCTTGCCTGGGTGTGCACACTTTCAAGCACAATTGTATATGTCGTGAGAAAAATTAAATGTCACAGAGGGAACCTTGGAGTTCTTATCTAAATGCAATGCAGTGCGCCGGCTTTCCCAGATGACAAGTATTTTGGATTTGCACTTTTTGATCTGAGAATACAATAAAATGCGTTTGAATTATTTCCCTTTTCAAAATTGCCTTGAAGCCATGTTTTCTTGCTTCTTGTAAGGCATCACTCTGATTCTCTGACAGACTGTCTGGTAGCTTGCCAAGCATCAGCCGTGTGTTTTTTTTTTTTCCGCACCATTCCCACTTATCCCCTAAAGACATTGTTTGCTTCTGTCGGCCCACTTTATAGACATGAGTCAATATGTCCCACATGACACATGCAATGATCAAAATGCGATTTAATGATGTGGTTCAGACACTGGCAAAACCTCATGTCCAAAACGAGGTACAAATACACACTCTCAAATTGGGTAAAAAAAACTCATTAAAATCCCGTCTCAAAGCAGACCAAGCGATTTTAGTATCATTTAATGTTTTTGATTTTGATAAAGCATCAGGAAACTGGAGCAGCCTAATACGGTTTTGTCTAAGTGTTGTCGTTGTTATACTGTTGTAATCTTGTTCCATTGGGGTGAGACTAGGCAGAGTGATGTCACGCTCTGAAGCTCTGTTTCCCAACCGGGGGTACCCAGGGGTATTACAGGAGTATTACAGGAGGTACTCAGGAGGAACTACTTATATGGCATGTTATACATCATTTTTAATGTAATTTTACCAAGAAAACAATCACATCATTTTTTTCTATTTTAAACATTGAACCCAGGACACAGTAATGAATGATAGTGAAATATGGCAAGCCATTACAAGTTTTGGCCCAGTTCAGCTCATTTTGTCCAGATGTAATGCAAATAGTAAAAAAGTACTATCAAAAATAGAATACAAAAAAACAATCACATGCCAAAAATTAGTTACAAATAAACCACCCATAAAGGCAGGAGACTTGGATTATAATATTTGTTCTGTCCATTATTCATCCATTGTCTTCCCCTTAATCCGTTACTGGGTCGGGGGAGGGTTGCAGTCAGAGCTGTACCCAGTACACTTAGCACCAGCCCCTCACTGATCCTCCTGCAAGTGGTGAGTCCACAGGGGCTTCAGGCAAATGGGGTTAAGTGTCTTGGCCAAGGACACAACGACAGTAGTTATAAGTGGGAGTTTTGAAGTGGGTCTTGTGGTGGGCTCGAACCCACGACCTTCAGGCCAATGCTCTACCAACTGAGCCACTGTTGTCCTCTCCATTACAACCCTTCAATATAAATGTGTACTCACACTCTGTGTACCCTGCTGGTGCACAAAACCACAGATTGGGAACCACTGCTCTAAAGTACAAGTAGTCAACTCTTCCCAAATAGCTATGGCACAAAACCAACTCACATTTATACACACATTGCAAATAAGTGTAAAATTCCTCAGTGATTTTTATGACAACTTTGCACCCCTCTGGCTTTTATTGCATCGTCACAAAATTCTGAATGCATCGTGCCTTCAACGCATAAAAGAATTCCTCATAAATTCCAAATATTCTGTTCCAACTATAGTTTTATGGTTGCAATTTGGAAATGTGTTGAATGTGTTGTATAACTGAGCAATTTCAGAATTCATGTGTGAAAAGAGATAATATCCAGGTTTGGAAATGTTGTTTAAATAAGGGTGTATTCCTATTTTAATCTTGTATAAATGTTGTTATCAGCAGTGAATTTGAATGAGTTTTGCTCAAGAAAGCTCAAATATATCCGACTTTGTAAAAAGAAAATTGTAAGCGTTTCACATGTTTTGCAAATGGCACTGGATTCTTCAAAAATATTTCCAAATGCCTTACCTTGAAACTTCTTTTAAATCTTATACTGACAAGATACAAAGCGATGGGGTTGATGCAGGAGTTGAGTGACGCCATATTGATGCCAAAATAATCCAGGACGAGGAAAACACTGCAATGGGAAAAGAACATTTAAACAGGAAGTGCAAACTGAAACTGAATTCAATGCAATTCAATATATTTTTGAATAGCCCTAACTCACAACAGGACAACTTTAGACAACACAGATCAGAGAATCAAAAGGTTCAAACACAAGAAATGCAATGATAAAAAAACACATAATCCATAAAGGCCGGATGACCGGATAACTATGTAATAAAATCAATATAACTATAGTTCCCTAATCTTCATGTGGATGTGTTTTTGGCCTCTGTCATATCCATAGACTGTATATATAAACGCCATATAATCTCCGCCGTTCTAACTAATGGGCCAAAAATTGGGCTCTCATGGAGTGATTCAAAATGGCCGCATCTGCGCATGCGTCAGTCGGCATGAGCCCCATTCATTTAAACGAGTGACTTCAAAAATTCACAGTGAGTAAACTAGACTGGTCCAAAAAAATTCACCCCCCTCAGCATTGACACACATGTGGAACGGAGCTTTGGGCCAAGAGCCAACTTTTGGTCCATCCTGTAAAGACGTTTTTGAGAGGTAAGAAGATGCTATATGTTAGCATTGGCTAATTCTTATTCCGAGTCCACCCCCATCGGCCCGGGGTGGTATTGCAAGCATGTCAGCGCACGTCATTTTGGCCACTTTTGAGCCGGGACACGCCCCCACTTGTAGATCAGATATTTCAGACAGAGAAGGGAAAAAGAGAGGACTACTTTGGCAATCCACCCAAAGCGTTAAATAGTGACTCAAGGGGTTTGTTCTCACAAGTATGCAAATAATGAGATAAAGATTGTGGCCTGATTTGGTCACAATATTCCAATGTTAGAAATCTATTTCAAAAAAATATGGAGAGAAAGAAGAAAAGTTGTTTTCCTCACCTCAGAAGTTGGCAGCGATTAGGATCCTTCTGGTCATAAATAGTTTTTTTCAAGATTCTACTGAGGTACAAAGGCAGCCAGCAGAGCGCAAAGACAATCACTAAGCAGAAGACGGTCTTTGCAACGTCCCTTCTCTGCAGAAGCAAAGATATGGACCGTACAGTTAGAGCGATGGCAGGGCTATAAAGATGAATGATGTGACAAATGGGTGCTTGGAAATAACACCAGTGACAAATAACCTGCTTGGTGTGGTCGCTTAAGGCCTCCGAGTTCTTCCGCAGCATTTTCCGCGCCATGAGTGTGTAGAATATGGCCGTCCACAGCAGCGGCATGCAGAAGTAGAAGCCGAAGAGCCACCAGTCCTTGCCTGATTTATAGAGCTGTGGATGGGACGCGACAAGAGACCGGGTCAGTACAAGGCGCATTCTCGTATGTGCAACAATACATTTGAAGTCGTGGGAAGACATGGGATTGGTGTTGTTCAAAGGAGCTCCAAATAACTAGGGAAATATATAGTTATGCAGAGGGGTTTCTTTGAATTGTGTGGCTGTATGCATTGTATTGCATTGTAACAAAAAATATAGACCAATTTGATTTGAGTTCCGTTCCGTTTAGTTTTCTTCCCCTTAATCCATATCTGATCAAATTACAATTTGATCGGATTTGATTGTGTCTTTTTTTCACTGCAAAAAATGGAATGGAATAGATTGGACTTGGAGTGGACTTGAACTAACCATGACCAATGTAGAATCAAAGACGCAAATTCAGTATTTTTGGTGGTTGTAAATGATAATGACACGCATATTTTGTTGTTCCATGTTTTAGAATGTGAAACAATATCTAGAATTTAAATAATAAACAATGATAGAATATTTGGAATTATTAGCATAAAGGGTAAACATGCAAGCCACTTGTGACCAGGGGTAAGGGTTCAAATTATTTTATTTTTTTTAAACTTGCAAACACAGACATGCAATTGTAAAGAATATAATTTCACCTGAGAAATTCATAAAGAATAATTTAGGGGAACTATTCTTATTGTGATGGGCTCAGAACTGCTAAGAGTGTGATGTCATAGCGGTATGACATCACACTATCACATGACTGAGACAGTAGCTCTTAGACAGAAGGGGCGTAGTTACATGTTTGTGCCAGAAGTTCTAACTCCAGGTCTGTTTACGACGAGGGGAAGCACGGTCAAAAGCTCAAAAATTTGTCTTTTAAAGTAGCAAACCAGGTCTATTTTATCAATAAATAAATATACGTGTATTTCTTAACACTTGAAGATGGCCGTGGGCTGAATCAGATTGTTGATAAATGTCTAAAGAAAATCCTTGAAATGAATGTGAAAAATGTACATACATGAGTGGAATGCTGTTATTTGAACGGAATGCTACTGATCTAAATTGTATGAAATATAATTGTCAGTAAAGAATGCACTAAATAGAATGAACAAACATCACATAGAACCATAATCTCTATAATAATAAAGGAAGGTCATAAAGTTTTGAGAGTACGTGTTCTTTGAGATGTCATTGTTTGGGAAAAACATCTAATTTAATACATGAGTTTGTACTACACAGCCACAAGTAGCAGATGTTCCTCCTTCAACAAAACATACACCACACTCTTTTTTTAAACAGAAAAAGCCAGTTTTGTTCCAGCTAAATTTTGTGTTTTATCTTCACACAGTCCATTGTTGGTTCGATAGCTCAAACGCTCAAAATAAGAAGAAATGTTTTTGGTCTGCCGGGAAGAATCCCATTACCTGCATGAAGTGGGAGCTTTGCATGGGATGGAGGAGGCATATTCTCAAATGTCTGCCTTTATAGTCCATGGTTATCATATCAAACCCCAGCACTTCAGGCACAGCGAGTGTGAGGGAAACAACCCATATCAAGGCTATTTCCACCGCTGTCCACGCAGACACCCCCAGGCCTTTGATTCGATTCCAGGATACTACGGCACGGTATCTGCAAAATCAATAGAAAAGCAGGTTTTGCCAGGGGGACTGTTGTCGGTGGAAGTGATACATAGTTTGGCAAAAGAACATTTCAAGGACTAATGCTAAACAAATCTATCCGCTGTGATGGAGATAGTGCTGGGAGATTGGACACTTTCTGTTGTTGAGAGCGGCTTATCTCCTCACCTGTCAACACTTAGAGCGCAGAGGCTCAACACCGTGATGCCGACGGAGGTTTTCTGCACAAAGGGGACGAGTTTGCACAGCACCAATCCGAAGGGCCAGTCCTCTGCTATCAGCTGTGACCAAAACAACTGCGAGAATCAGTTTAAGGTGCACTTCAGACTGAAAAGTATAGCACTGCATCATTAAACACAAACACAAGGGCAGTTGGAGTGGTTCCACTGTTTAAATATGCAGACTGCAGTTTTAAAACATAAGGTAATAATTGCGTTAATCACGTGGTTTTTATCTTAATCTGAGTACATTGTGATTGTCTTGTTATTGGTTTCATTGAAATATAGAGACAATGAGAATATTTATGTTCACAATGTTCAAGTACTGTAGATTATCCAATCAGAGAGCAGAAGGAGGCCCCCATTTGACTTGACAAGTTGTTTGTGAATTTTGTAAAAAAAGAAAAAAAGAAAAGATGAAAGCCAAATCCAGGTCAATTTCACCTAACCTGCTCTCTGATTGAAAAATCTGCTTACTTCTCTAGTGAACTCATGAATATTATCATCTTGTACATTGTATTTATTATCAAGAAAAAATCCACTTTAATTTTTGGTGTAAACACATTACACACTGTTTATTTATTTTGAGGATTTGTCAATAGATCTTGGGCAGAAGGATTATTTTCTCATCTTTTACACCATTTACGTTCACTGCTTGTAAAGCTGTGCACAAACAGAACAATATTATGTTATTCTATTTTGTGATGTCACGTTACTGTCATGTCATGTTACTTTTACAAGAATAAGTGGTTGTTGGTTAGAACTCTATACGTACAAAACACGTTCTGAAACATGTGGGAAGGGTGTCATTTCTGTGTACGCTTTTTTTTAATGGGAGTTGTTATTTTACTCTGAAACAAATAGACTTTTTATGCATTCAGGATATTGAAAATCACATCGCAATTGCTTTATTTATCAGAGACTGGAACTGGATAACTCTGTTTGGCTCCTTTAGCATCAGATTTCACCTAATTATACAGAAACCACTCCATTAGTCACTTTGGCCCAAACCCTCACGAGACTAACACGTACAAATATATACTGTACGTGGAGCTATGTATTTCTTGCACTAGAATATACTGTCCTTTATACTTGCTTTGTTATTTTGCTAAAGTCAGAGATTTTATACTTGTTTCTTTATTATGCGAAAGTCAGATTTTTGCATCTTTATTATGCTAGAGTTGAAGATTATATTTTATTTTAGATAGAGTTATTGTTCATTTATCTTTTGCTGTCTGCTCCTCATTTCTACTGATTGGTAAATGGCGATTCAACACTGACATTTTCTCACAATGGGATGAACAAAAGATCTCTCTTAATCTTAATCTTAATTTATTAGGATCATTTTCTTACATTTTTATTTTAGGTCGTTTTTTTCCCCCATCCTCAAATGTACGTTTTTTGTCATTTAAAATAACTAGACAAAAACAGGCAAATTATGGCACTCTCAGCGTATCCTTTTGACAACAAAATCTTGTTTCTTGATAAATGAAATGAGATATACCCAATTTTACTGGCTTTACTATTATGTTGTCAAATGTATAGGTTGAAGAGGATGTGTGTTTGTTTGAGAAAAAGGGACTACATACTGTATACTGTATAATAATTGAAAAACGTACAATTGTCCTTACAAATGTGCTTGAACATGGGAAAATAGTTAGATATTTCGATTTGATATTTTCCCTAGTGTAAAGTTCATCTTGCGTTTCCTTCGTTCCACTCACCCTGTACGTGTTGACCGGGATGTCGATCACGATGTGGATGAGATCTCCCAGAGCCAGGCTGCCGATGAGAATGTTGGGTCCGCTCCTCATGGACTTGTTTGCAGATATGATTTTTAATAAGGCCACGTTCCCGAGGATTCCAACCACAAACACGAGAATGGACACCGCGGTATTGACATATTTGAAGGCGTCTCTGATCCGGGCAGGCTCCAAGCACATGGGGGGAGGTGGCGCTGGTGCTGGAGGTGGATGGATTGAGCTGTTGCTTTTCTGTTTTTCTTGTATTAAAAGATCAGGGGACGCGGTTGCCCCAGCGTGTTCAATTACAGAGAAAGCTTGCGAATGCTGATCACTGGTTTCTCCCGCCACCAGAATATTTCCCAAACAAAGACCCAGCAACACAGTCCACATTGTTGTCAATTTTGGTCCCCCAACCCCAGGCGCAGAACGGATTTGGAACTGAAAGGAAAGAGTGGAAATAATTAGCGCGCTGAGGTTTTTAAGTCTTGCCGCCGGAGAGGTTGAAGGATTACCATTTTTAAAAAGCAAACATAAGTAAGTCTGATATTGTAATATAACAGATTGGAGTTTACCTTCAGAATTCAGCGTGGAATATCTCTGTATATAAAGTACAAAGCAGGCTCGATGTTTAACACAAAGACAGCTCTGCCATAAATGTTGGTCGCCTGCAGAGAAATGTGTCTTTTATATGAGCGGCGAATTATTGTGGGCATTAGTCATCGATCTGTCAGTAGTGACTGTAATTACTTCCCTTGATGCATCACCCTGAACAAAAGCAAACTGTTGAGGGGTATTGTCTGTTATCACCGAGTGAGATCATTTTATGGGTCTGATGGTACAGCTGTTTGTCCTTCTCTCACTCTGAGGCCTTTCTGACTTCAGTTTTCCAAAAGTACATGAAGCAACACACACCATGGGGGCCATAAGCATCACCTGGTCTGACGATTGTGAATGTCTGTCAGTGCATGCACAGGAGAAACTCAGATGAGTAGTTTAACCAAGGTATAGTTTCACAGCCCCTAAATCTTGTTATTGTTTTCATTTCAATGTCCCAGAATGTTGTTTTTCACCAGATTTAATAAAAGAAAGTAATCAAGTTTTTTTTACCTTGACTCACTTTTAATAAGTTCTAAAACTCGTAATTATAACTGAAGTTAAAGCACACACAAAAAATGCTATAACTTCTGACAGTACACAGTGTGTCGCTATGGTAACTGGCACTTGGTATTCTCTGGTGGAAAATGAGTAAAAGGTAGAACTGCTCAAAAGTAACGATAATTTCATAAAATTAATTACTAACTCTGTGGGAATTACACTTGCAAAACTAAAAGCTGTCAAATTGACTGCTCTGGGAGTTCTAGTGTTAAAAGGATATTTACTCCTGAAAGAATTAGGAATAAAGATTCTCTAATCTTACAATATGAAACTAAGATATGATACTGTGGAAGCAATAATTATCAAGATAATTTCTGTCCTTTTGATGTGAAGGACGAGAACAGGAAGTCGAGTGGCCGATGTCATTATTCTATATGTTCCAACCCTGTATTAACGTTTGAATGATGTACTTGACTTCTGCTGTTAACTGCATTCTTATGTTGGCGTTGAAGCGAGTGCCTCCTTCATTCTCGCCACGATAGACTCATTACAGGCAAAGGGAGATACAGTATATCAAGTCTGGATAGTTTTGGTGCCGGTAATTGGCCGACAGCTTGTAAAATGCCAAAACAAAACATCTCAGAAGAATTTCATTTTTGGAAAATGAACTATACCGTAATCAATAAAATTATTCCAAATAAAAATGTGACATGTCACTTTTGCATATATCAGATCTGTATCATAATTGGTTTTGTTTCTTTTGTTTACTGCACTTTTGTGTGTTTGTGTGTTTTTTGGGGGAAAAAAATATAAATAACTGATTACAATGAAAATAAATTATTTGTTTATTATTATGAAATAATAATACAATTCTGGCTTATTAGCAAAGATGTCCGGCAATCGCCTGCTTCGCCCTTATTTTTGTGATGGCTCTGATCATTTTGAATAACCTTTTCACTCTGTACCATTGTTCAAAATCATAATAGAATTAAAACAAAGCACTTTTTAAGTGAAGAAGAAGCAAAGCTCCTGCTGAGCAACAGCAGAGGAACAATAGCAACAGTGATTCAGAAGCTTGCAATATTCCCTGAATGTCCTCTGGAGACTTGTGGTGGATGACATATTGTGTGTTTTCTAAAATGAGCCAGTCGGTGAGATCCGAGCAGCAGATAGAGCCTCTGAGAGCCCTGAAGAAGGTGACTTCTTCCCTCGACAGCTTTATGACAACCTGCAGCGCCTGGAGGTGGAGCATGAAACGTGACAGCCACAAGATTCCCATTGTTAATATCATATCCACACATTCTGCGGCACTTTCTGAACATGGAAATGTGTGCTTCTCTAATGTCAAGTGACCTTCAGGATATACGCGCTGCCACTTTCCCAAGAACAACATAGATAAAAGAAAGTAGACGGCTGAGTGGGTAGAGCAAAGTCTGACATGTGCTGCTGCTCATTTCATATACTCTGTATCAGTGTCACCGCTGAGACATGCGTCACCTGCAGCAGACACATGCAGCAGACACATGCAGCAGACACATGCAGCAGACACCTGCAGCAGACACATGCAGCAGACACATGCAGCAGACACCTGCAGCAGACACATGCAGCAGACACATGCAGCAGACACCTGCAGCAGACACATGCAGCAGACACATGCAGCAGACACATGCAGCAGACACATGCAGCAGACACCTGCAGCAGACACATGCAGCAGACACATGCAGCAGACACCTGCAGCAGACACATGCAGCAGACACATGCAGCAGACACATGCAGCAGACACATGCAGCAGACACCTGCAGCAGACACATGCAGCAGACACATGCAGCAGACACATGCAGCAGACACCTGCAGCAGACACCTGCAGCAGACACATGCAGCAGACACCTGCAGCAGACACATGCAGCAGACACCTGCAGCAGACACATGCAGCAGACACATGCAGCAGACACATGCAGCAGACACATGCAGCAGACACATGCAGCAGACACATGCAGCAGACACATGCAGCAGACACCTGCAGCAGACACATGCAGCAGACACCTGCAGCAGACACATGCAGCAGACACATGCAGCAGACACATGCAGCAGACACATGCAGCAGACACATGCAGCAGACACATGCAGCAGACACCTGCAGCAGACACATGCAGCAGACACATGCAGCAGACACCTGCAGCAGACACAGGCTGTTTACCATCGTTTTGACATTATGTACATGTGATGTGATAAACACACATTTACAAAGCTTTTTTGCAAAACGGTAAATGTAGAAAATGTGGGTGACATTACTGAAGTTAAAAGAATAATACTGTATAAGTGTAATGCGGCGTGATAGCACTAAAATCAGGGTTTAGGGTTCCCGTGTGACCCGGGTCTCAGTGTGGAGTGTTTCCCTGCGTGGGCTTCCTCCAAGTGCTCTTGATTCTCCCACCAACCCAAAAAACGAACTAAAATTTGCACCATAGCTCTGATCTCCAAGTCAGGCCAGGGAGTTAGAGTGATCCCCCTGCCCCCTCTTTTCGCCAGGGAGCCTCTCCAGTCCTGGATCTACAGCCTGTCTCTGTGGGAGCGGATCCCTCTCTTGCTGAGGTCCTTCCCTTTTTCTCCCACTGGGTTTTTTGAGCTGTTCGTCGCCGGTGCAGGAGGGTATGGACAATGAGGATACAGGACATTCATTTAACATTCCTTAACATTTGTGGAAAATGGATCTAATTGTTTAATTCTCTAATCGGTTGTTGGCAATCCAACAATTATGCTCCAAGACTAAATGGAAATGAATTTCCTTTCATTGAAGGATGGGTTAAATGCAGGGGACACATTCCAATGTGGTGTTGATTGCAAATGGCAAACAAACTATCTTTAAAGGAACATCACAAAGAAATAGTTTTGTGATGTATTATTATTGTCACGTATTGCAGTAGCACCTTTTGGTTTGCATACTGTACATGTAGTTTTTACTCTTTCCTAAAGTATTAAGATTAAAAAGCTCATAATTTAGAGCAAGGACACCAACCAAACTCTGAATATTTGAGATATCAATCCTGACGTTCATGCCCAATAATTGACAAAAAAGAAATATTGAAATTACCAACCAATGTATTCTCAATTGCAAGTTTAAACGAATGATACATTTATAACAAACCCTTTTTGCATGCTCTCTCCGTCACCTCGACTTCAAATGCTTTATGCAACATTCTGAACAACATATTGATGAAACACTTTTCCAAGAGACAGTGATGCAACAGTAGATTTATATCTTTGTTAAATGTGCAGGCCGGTACGGTTTGACGACGGCATGTTGGTGATCTCAGTGGGTTCATGTCGGCACAGGGCTGGAGATACATGACTTGTGTGAGCAGACAGATTGCAGGTGGGTGGAGCAGAGCCTTTCATTCAGCCGTCAGGGCAAGCTCTGTCATCACTCCGGGCGCAGAGGGGGTCACCTGTTCCTGCCCTCTCCTGCCTCTTCAGACTCAGACATCTGTCAAATTCCTAATTATTTCTCTTTTTTGTGCAGTTCAAGAGAAAATCGAAACACAGAGGCACAAGTGCTGAACACGGACACTGTCGCTCATGTTTGAAAGGTAACCTGCTCCAGAACGTTGTGCCAAGAGAGAGAGGGCAAATTATTTCAATACCAACACTTTTACAGGTCATGACATTTAAAAGGAAAATTCTCCGCATGTATTTGTCCTATACAATGGTTTTCAACGGCATTCAAACAGCTCCAATGAACATCTGAATCCGTTGGCGTGACGATAACAGATATACACACTATGGACGGCCATAGTTTTTTGTTTTTTTTGTTCCCGAAATGTGATGTGAAACAGACAAAAGGTGAAGCCCTATAACATTATCAGTTATAGAGGGATGCTGAAATAAATACCTTAAATCGAAACAAGTTCAAACCAAATTCAGGTAAATGTTTGTGGGAAGCCAGGTTGCTGAATATCTAATAATCTGGGCAGTGGTTCTTTGCTGCAAAGAAGGTTACTTTTACTTTTGCATAATGTTTTACTTTAAAGGTACGCTGTGTGTAGTTTGCAATTACAGTTTGCTGTATGACGTTGGACTTTTGCATAATATTTTTTTAAGATTGTTGTTTGGTTGTTCTTTTACATAACTGTGGTCCTCCATGGTTCTTTTATATAACTGTGGTCCTCCATGGTTCTTTTATATAACTTCTTTAAACTTGTAAGGGCATGGTGAAAGCAACAATATCAGTAGCAGAAGAAACGAAAACACGATTCTTGAATTATTTTTGTCCCTTATCCACCACTGTATTTCAAGATGTTGAATTCTAAGCTTATGAAAACAACTACAAAAACATGGTGGAGGTAAATATTCTTAAAAAGGTCACATTTCTTATTAGTTAACATGTTTTTTTCAAATGGAGCAACTGTTAAAATTACACAGGGTTTCTTCCAGGTGCTCCCCTATCATTAAACACAATATATGGCATGCCCCTCCTACATAGCAACCCCAAACCCATCTCTGTGCGGAGTGAGAAGACAAATGCCCACAACAATTGTACAGCTTTGTGACTTTAGTCTGTGAAAGGTGCCACAGTACATTCAGCTACTTTGGTGCCTAAAGGGTTAACTGAATAAACAGAAGAACATGTTCATGCAAGATGGGATTCTTTTCTTCATCTCTGTTTACACAATTTGTCCTTGTTCACCCACATTGCTTATTACAAATATGGTATTTGTGATCTGTCAGAGGGGCCGATGGCACAGATGGGCAACTTTGCTTCTGTCACCCCAGGGCAGCTATGGCTTCAGAAGTAGCTTACCACTGAGCGAATGAACAACGCAATGCAAAGTGCTTTGGGTGTCATGAAAGGCATTGTATAAATAGCATGTTTTGTCAGTGTTTGAAACAATGAGATTCGCTGAGCCTTCTTCCTCTGGGTAAAATGTCAGAAGCAGAATCAGACTTCTTGGAACATGGTGCAAACAAGTTATACATAGATAATCATGCAAATAAAAGCAACAATATTCATAGAAATGACAACTCTATACAAGCGCACACTAAATACACACAATAGATATTTAAGACTGCAGTTAAAGTAACAGTTGTATAAGGTGACGATCGTAAAGGGTCAGTGATGAGTTATGAAGTGGTCATGAGTCTGAGGGGACGCGACCGTTATTATGGCAGGAGGTTCTGATCCTTGTGGACCGTAAGTCTTCTGCCACAGGGGAGTGGTTTGAACAGTCCATGTGCAAAAAAAACCCAAAAAAACACAGATAAAAAAATAGACAGACAGATAAAGACAAGACTCAGGAAAAATATACGGGTGAACTTGATACTGTCTGTAGTGGTCTTTATATCTGTTTAATTCACTAAATCTTTATCTGGACTTTTCTTTTACTTTCCTTTTTTTGGACAGTTTGGTGGTTGCGCTGATGAACCCCTGGTCTTGTCACGTGTGGTATCAGTCCCCTTCAAGGAAACACTGGTATAACTGTCTTGTGGCCTTAGGTGTCTGTCTGTCAGTATTTCTTTCCATCTTTTTTTTTTTTAAATAGGGACCTACACAGCAAAGTAATATAAAATATGAAGTAATAAATGTGTGAATCAAGTGTTTTTTTTATCTTAATGTGAGTCGATTCTGACTGGTCTTTAACAAGATTTGATGGGACAAAGAGAGACATTTCTTGAATCGTTTTAAAACAAGGTCATTTTGCTTGTTCCATTGTTTTAAAGCACTCAGAATGTGCACAAATGAAGATAAATGTAGTCAAATTTGAGCATTTGTTGTCTTTGTTTTTATCACTTTTTGCTCTGTAGATCCTGAATAAAGAAGGGAATTGTTAGATTTATCCAAACACATTGAAGTGTGAACTCCTATCTAAGCTTCAAGATAATCGTGTTAGAACATTTGGCACAATTCCCACCCCTTTAATCGTCTTAAAAACTGCAACTTCTGCATCCTTTCCATTATGTGATGTTAAAGACACAAACTTCTACTTCAAGGAGACATTTTCATGGACCTTTTTAAACTAGGTAAGTTTTTTTTTCCCCCTTATTACACAATGAAACAAAGTCTAATCCCTTTTTCCCATTACAGGCCGCACACAAAAGTCGTTATCGCGAGAAACTGTAACACTTTACTGTTATCTCCGAAAACAGAGTAACAAAACACAATGTTGGAAATAAGCTTCTAAATAGAGGGTAAAGATCATATATATTCGTGACTCTCGTGTAGGTGCAGTCCACTCATCACCGCCTGAACAAACTCCTCATACTGAAAAGGTGCTGTCGATTTAGTCCAGTGGCTTCATATTGGTCATAGCGCCTGGAAATGATAGTGATGGCCTTTTTCATTTTCTCTCAGTAATAGCCTCATGTGCTGGCCATAATATCAGAGGTGGAGAGGTGATTGTGAATCTATTTTTCACTCCGATGTAGGTTCCAGAGGTTGAATCTAAACAGGATGTGCATCTTGCTCCGAGTGGCCACTGCTCGGGGCTTTGTCAGCTGCGAACTGCGGGGAAATGAAATAAGAATTGAGATGGCGTGGCGAGCCCCTTCCCGCGCGGACAACAAAAACGCACCCACTCTATGTAAAAAAACAAAAACAAGAATGAACAGTGACAATAGGTTTTTATAGAATAACTACAGCCACATTCATTGCTTGCATTGCTTGTATTTTTAGTTTAGTTATTGTTTGTGTGGTGAAACAATGAAAGATCTTATTATAGAATGGAGCAGAGCATACTTTAGGCACGGGAGGAGACTCAGAGAAACTCACACAGCCAGTGAGAGGGAACAGGGAGTGGAAAAAGAAGGAGCTGGAGAGAGGCGAGTAATAGCTTATTTGTCCCAGTCTTCCGGAAAAAGGCTGGTGAAAAATTACCCGCATTTACTGTTACTATTTGCTACACAGGAGGCAATGGGAGTACGTATTAAAGTGGGCTCTATTACATGTGTACTTGGGCAGCTTCGGTCCTTTGGCACACTGTAGAATTCTTTAGTCTACAAGCAAGAATCTATTTATATGTTATACACGTTTTTAGGTTTTTAGGGGTCATGTCATTTTTCCATTGGTTCCGTCATGTTCTTCAGTTAATTGACATATTTGATTATATTTTTTCTTGTAAGCAGCCATATTTGTTTTGATATGGACGGAATATACACGGTCCCGTTTGTCCGCACTCGTCTGTCACGCCCGTCTACACTCAGGAACAAGGATTGACATCTCATCTAAAACAG